TGTCTGTCTGTCTGTCTGTCTGTCTGTCTGTCTGTCTGTCTGTCTGTTTGTCTCTCTCTTTGAGACTGTGTGGGGCCTATGTGGCCACATCTTGAGGCTATCTTAGCCCATCTACGGGCTATGTTTCCCATATCTGGGACCTATGTAGGGTCATCTTGCGGCTATGTGTGCCATATCTGAGACCTATGCTGGGTCATCTGGAGGGCCTCTGTCAGGCCATCTTGGCGCACATTTTCCGCCGTTGCTGTTGGGAGGAAGTGTCAGAATGGGAAGCTCAATGCCTGACTGAGCTTTTCAGGACAGAGCCAGAAATGTCTGTTTACATCCAAGGGCAATCTGCCTTGGCTAGACCCACATACTAGTCTGGCTCTAGAGCCATAGACCCAATTCCAAGGCTCCCGCAGCTTTACAGAATTTAATTCGACACCAAAAATGACCAACAAATTGTCCTCGGAACTGAGTGGTCACTTCCAAAAGTTGCTTTCTGACGCCAGTAAAAGTCCTTCTCTAAGCCCCATCTCGAAACCCGATGTAAGCCAACTTTTAGCTTTCTGACGGCAATGTGTACGCGTGGACTTTGCAAGAGCCCAGTGCTAGTGTCCGATGCCGCGCTCCCTAGCCATCGGCTGGTGTCGGCGGATATACCTATATATATATATAGTATTGAAAGTAGCATTGAATAGTATTGATTAAACACTCATGTATTTATCATGCTTTGGTTTATGTTTTGTTCGCATGGTTTGGTTGCGTGTGTTGTTGGTTTCGGGTACATTGATGGCATTGATAGAGTCCTTCCACGGCTGACCCGTCGGGGTCCCATTTTGGACACCCATCCACACTTCCAAAGGTGTTGGGTTGTTTGTTGCCGTGACAGTGGAATGTTTGTTCCTATCATCGGACTCAGTTCACTATAGTTGTATACTTTGTCACTGGGCGCGGTGTTCCATAACATTTCCGTTGCCAGACAACCAACAATTCAAATGACCAAAATATGTAGTTTACAGCAAAGCATCAAGGCAACATATTGAGTTCCTTTTAACGTCTAGTTGTCTCCTCAGCAAGCTTCCATGAAACCATATTTTTTTTTAACTCATCATATGGACGAATTTCTGTTCTTCACCATACCATACACAGGGTTGCTATGGGCAGGGTAGGGCACTTGAGATCTCGCTGTGGCTCACCGGTCCAACATCGGTCCCCAACGCCGACGGAGGTGGCCCACCGAGCCCTTGCGCATGGCGGGTGAGGCGAGAGCCGGCGCCTGAACGGTGTCGAGTTACGGTGTCGACGCCTCTCTGTGCCCCCCTGGGTTTTTGTGGGATTTGTATGTAGGTTTGTTTGCCCCTATAATCCCCTATATATACACCTGAATGAATCTGTAAACAAGAACATCGCTTAGTGTAGAGGACAACCTATATATATATATTATTAATCATCATCAATTGGAACTGGTAATGGGATCTACCCAAAACTTTTTGTGTGATTCGATGATTGATTCAATGATAATTCAATTGGTGTCTTGCTGCCGTCACTGCAGTCATTCTCTCAACAAAAACAACATACCAGCAAGAGTTTGTTTTGCAAGGTTTTAGGTCAGGTGATGCCACGGTTGTGTACGACATTTGACAACATAGCTAGAAACAGAAACTAGCAGACCAGTTTGATTGATCCCCTCTGACAGTTTTTACACCACTACTATGCAGATGGAAACACGACCCTGGCCACATCAATGCCTTGGCTGCTCGGCCAAGATGTCTTCTGCAAGCAGCAAACTGCGGCCAGCACTAAACTTGAGCCTTGCCAAGCCTCACAACCAAATTTGCCAAGCCCCACATGAGCAGCGTCCCAACTCACAAGGTTCAGTAGGGAGTCCAACCTTCGCCTGGCCTCATCAAACGTAATCCTTAAGCCAAAGAAAGAATGATTCGTTTTCTGAGCAGACTCATTTCCCAAACACTCCATTTGGACTGGCATTTGACTCCGGACCAAATGGAATGCTTGACCGCAGGCAGTGCCGCTGGCTAGCCTTGGGAATAGTGAATAGTTCAACCAATCATAAAATCACTATATACACACGACAAGTCCAAAGACCCAGTAAAGCCTGGTCCTTTACCTCATCGAGTAGTGTTTTTGTATGACCTTGTAGGGGCAGATAGTTCAGAATGCCTTCACCGACAGGAGTTTCAATTCAGATCCCATGACTTGAAAAAGTATCGAGAGCATGCCAGCAACAAAAGTGTGATTGTTTGATATGTTGGCAAGTAGTTCAAGTAGTTTAAGTAATCAAGTTTCAATCCATTCAACTTCTTGGAAAGATCGACCCCGTAGCGCCCGCCATCAAAGCAACCAGACTCACAGGCGCCATCATGAGCCAGGAAGAGTCGACACGCCAAACATCCGAAGCGCTTGGCCAAAGAATGTGTGCCAAAAACGATTTGAAACAAGTCTAAGAAGAGTTCCAAAAGAAAAAAGAGTGCATACCCCAAGAAATCAAAGAAAACTTTGCGAGGAGACAGGATGTGCTTCATGCAATCCAGGAAGGTGACCGAAAAGTCAATGCAAGACAGAATTAATCTATTTCCAAAGATGACTTGATGCACTCCTTGGGCAGTTCAGGATGAGCCCAGAATCTCGAATCTGGCTTATTGAACTCCCCAGGCCTGAAGAGGACCAACAATCCATGTCTGGGGCGAGTTAAATGCTTAAGATTCTACATATTGTACTAATATATAACATATTATATAGATAGTATGCATATATATATATACATACAGTACGTGTGTGTATTTATCTTGATATATATATCAATATATATATATATAGAGAGAGGAGAGAAGTCATTTGAAGCAGGTTTTCTGGTGCATGTCCACCTCTTCGCCCCCTTCGACCAGGTCCTGGGCGACCGCTTCCGACGCTTCACCGGTCCCGGCCGCCTCGGACGCACCAAGGGGGGGGGACCCGAACGCGTCGAGGAAAGGGCCTGGAAAATGGTTTTGTTAAGGAAATCTTACTTAAACTATTCAATTTTTATCTCAATCTTTAAGTGCATGGGGGGGAACAGCTGGGTAGATAGATTCGGATAGATTCAATGGCATGGGACAGTTATGTACATGTGTTGGTTAATTCAGATATGCATGACAGTTCACTCAGCAACGGGGAGGTACTTGTCACGGATTGTCTTCTTTGCGGGAAGCAAAGAAGTGCTGAGATCATTAACAAAGACGTGGATAGAGGAGGTTCCCGGCATTGTCAATTGTCAATAATGGAGAGGGGGAACTCCAGTTTCAAACATACGTAACCTACCCTCCACTTGATAAATATTGCAAGAGGGCTAGCTCCTGCACTCACAGAGAATTGATGCGAAGATGATGGATGAGCTACGAGCTGACACCGGCTCCTGCGGACGCCCCTGGGCGTTGCATCATCTGCACGTTTGTCATGGACATGTTCATTGAGCACGCAGGACGCGCCCTTTTGATTTGCTAAAAAGTTGGCAGACCCGCATGCCGAAAAATTTGGGACGAACAAAATGGCACCAATCAAGCTAAATAAGGCCAGCAAAACCAAACACACGAACAGTGAACTTGTGCTCCAAATGGGAGAGCTACCTCCATTGCAGACCTGGAAAAAGGGAATCCTGCATGCTGTCTCCCCTTTTAACCAATGCTGATCATTGGTTAACGCATGCGCGATTTACTGAAACCAATGTTCACACAGCATGAGGCTGCTGGTATTGGTGGAGTGCGCAGGCCTGCTTGGGTGACCTTGGCCAACCAGACGCAGAACTGCCTGCAGACCTGAAGAGGAGGTCGTCAGTGTGGTGCAGCATGAGTTCGCCTCAGACCGAACCAAGTTTCACCTAGACGTCGTGATTGACCCTTGAAGATTGATGGACCCTTGAAGATTTTGAGAGTTTTGGGCTTCAAGACAACATAGAAGGCACGTGGGCCAAAAGAAAGCACCTGTTTGCCAACGATCGTTGGCCCCCTGCATTTGATCCTTTTCCCCGCGATCTCTTTCATGTTTACTTTGCGACTCTGCCGTCTCCCGCGTCGGCCTTTCGACACCCACGCTGCACGCCCCTTTTGACACCCACGGCTTGTGCTATGGGACACCTGCAGCCAATTAGCGGTCGCAAGTACGCAATCATTTCTTCCCCTAGCGAAACACATCGAGATACATCGAGTGCTGCGAACGACTTGAGAGTCGTGTCCTTCCGACCTTGCCGTTTGGAGGTTCTCGGGTTGCTGATGTCTTCTCGGATCGGGATTGACGCCAACGCCTCTCGTGGCCCTCTCGTAGCGGTGCGTGATTCGATCGACGTCTCGTGGCCCGTCTCTTTGGTTTGATGCGGACGACATGGTCGTGTTGCTGGACGGGCATAGTGCGGCACCACCTGGTTCATTAAAGGGGGGGTTCCCAATATCCATGATAGTTGATAGGAATATGACATTCAAGAACCATAGAATAGATTAAGATTAATACACTGTCGGGTATCCAACAGTTAGAGACATGCACAGATTGAAGAAGTAATGTGAGTGTGTTGATTGTTGCCAACCCCAGATCACTCAAGATTCTATGGTGACCTATACCTACCCCTATACGTCGAAAGCCAGCAGTTACTTACTGCGTCCTTGCTGCATTCTCCCTCATGGTGGAGATGGGATCTTTGCCCACCTTCTCATGAGTCAGGTGACCTTAAGAGACTACTATACCAAGCCTTTGTGAACCTATCAGAGGTCTCGTGACATGGATATATTGCCAAACCGGACAACCACTGGGACAATAGACGGGTATTCAACTGACCACGTCGTACAATAAAGAAGACATCTCACATCACCATCTCTATCTGTCTAGACCTTGGCCCTTTACCATCAACCCATTGAAGAGAAGCCATATCTACATACGTCTACTGTAGAAGTCTGTCTCTCCTTTGTAAACTAAGGCCTGCAACCTAACCATCGAAAATCTACTGTTACAGGTAGGATAGACCCAACAAATAGCTACTAGGAACAAAGGGCATCGCTACTAGGAGCAAGGACGCTACTAGGGGCTCCTGGCCTTACTACTAGGAACAAGAAGCTACTAGGGGCTCCTGGCCTTACTACTAGGAACAAATATAGCTATATACTTAGGATAGACCCAACATCTACCTGTAGAAGTCTTTCGGTTCACAGACGCCGTGCCTCCCCGAGGTGGTGAGCGTGCCTCTTCTGCCCCAGCCACCTGGACGCCGACGCCCTGCACCGCGCCCGGGGCCCCTGAACGAGAGAGGCCAAGCTCAACCGGTCCTTGAATACTTCCAATTCACCGCCGCAGGCCGGTTGAGCTGGTGAGATGGTACTCTTGACATCTCTTGATATAATTACATATAATTACTGTGTTCCTTGATGGTACTCTTTACTATGTAAAAGAGAACATAGATCTCTTATGATCTCTTGATGGATGTTCCTTCATGTATGAGGTGGAAACGCTCAAAACCTGCGTTTGGAGTCCAAGGGATCCGCCGAATTCGGCCCGGCCTTCAGCCGACGACACGGAAAAAGTGTCTTCAGCGAAAAGCGAAACCACCGGTAGACAAGGAGGTAGCTCAGAAAAAGCCGAAAAGGCCAACAGCGAAAAGGCCAAGGATCTTCAAACTAAAACTGTTTCCTGAACATTGCAAAGCATTTAGGATCCACCAGAACCGAAACTGCGACGTAACTAACCAAAGTCGTGCAAACGAACGTTAATACCCCCTACCCCCCAACCCCCCACATACGAACCTCCTTTAAAAGTTGAACGCAACTCGAACCGAAGACATAAGAACATGCATCAGCTGATATGGACCAAAACAGGTTATAACAAGTATACATTGGTATTACAGTAGTACTATTGCTGTTGGCCCCCCGACACCATGTATGTTGAAATGTATTGAACGGTCAATCGGGGCCGGAGTTCAGCATTCGCCAGCATCCAAAAACCAGCTGGAAAGTTTGGTTCACCTTCTGGTTTCCCCAAAACCTAATCTGTGGGAAACGATGAAACTATAACGTGTTTTTCCCTGTCATTTTCCATGGGGTTTCTGCCTCAGGAGTTGGGTCAGGAGGTCAAATGATTTAAGGATCATGGTCCACCTGGTTTCACTTGTGCGTTCAGGACCGATCCCTGGATGTGGATGAGGGCGGGTTTCACTTGCCCTTGGTTTTTGTGTTTTCTTTTTCAATGGCCCCAGGTGCAAATGAGTGCAATTCCAACATCAGAATCGCAGGGCTTCCCCGGTGCAGGGCTTCCTCCAGCCTCCAGGTCTTCCTCCAGCACTTTCCCACAGACCTCTGGGAGCCCTAGGCATTGCCTGGCACTCAGGGGACACGAGAAGGTTTGATCAATGGTCTAAGCAGCCATCCCGTGCCCAAGCCCCCAACAGTTAAAGCCGAAGGAAGATCATTTTAAACAATGTGTGTCTCATGATTGCATGATCTTCGAAACACTGAAGCAAGAAGCCCTCTCCTTTACTTGGGGAAGGTCAAAGCAAGATATCGTAGTTCAGATACCCTTGTTCTCGCGAAAGTCCATTTGCCTCTTCTTCATGTTTATTCTGCAGTTGCGTGAACCATTGTTAAGTCTGGATGGTCATAGAGGTTACTTTTTGTTATGGCTGGTCCACGGAGCTTTGCTTGAAGGAAAAGCTGCTCTCAAACATACGGGTGCTTTATATACACATTTCTACGCAATTCTATCAAATGTGCAGCATCTACTGCGGTCACCCATTGTAGCTGATCAGCTTGGGCACAGATTGAAAGGTGAACAGGTCTGAGGTACCTTCTAGCCAAAATCCCTAAGACATTTGTAAGTTGCTGATACCTTCTAGCCGAAATCCCCCCAGACATTTGTAAGTTGCTATGTTGTTACACTTAAACCTTGTTACTCCTATAAACACTGGAAACCACATGTCCACCCCTTGGTCTTGTTGTAGGGTATTTGCCTGAGATGTGGCTCAAAAGTAATTTAGACTTAGATCGTGAAAAGATTTGGCTTCGCAATTCGATGGGTTTCGTCTACTCTTCCGCTTACCACCAGGTTTGGCATCTACCCCTTTTTCTAAAGCCATACCAATGTTCCATCTCTCGACTGCCGCTCTTGTCCAGGTCCCTTGCAGGCGACACAGTTGGGAGTTCGGTCAGGCTATGAACAGATAGCATAGTCTCCACCATCCTCGTTCTCTTTTTGCTTGGAAACCCAGCTTTTGAACTTTAGCTGCTAAGTGAGGTTCTTTTGGAATTCCAACTCATCATCCCCTACATTTGCAGGAACATGCATGAACATTGTTTCTGCGTTTGATCCACGTCCAATTAAAGATGCAAGCCCAACCGTAGCCACAAAGGATACTTGGGGTGAGAATCACTGGCTCACGGCACACGTGTTTTTCTCTCCACTTTTTCAGCAACGTGGAAGTCAACGTCGACATCTCTCCAACGCAATGTGGACGGTTGATTCACCAACGCCCCGGGACTGGAGGAATGTGTGTTCAAATACTGTTGAGATTCTTTTGATGAGGGAACATCTTTTGGAATGGTTTTCAACAAAGAGTCACAGTCAGCAGCAACATGTTCCATATCATTCGCAATGGCTGTAAGGAGACAAAGGCCCTTGGCCGGCTGTACTTCCTTCAACGGCTGACAATTACCACTGCCCAGTACTATCCATGTCTGGCCATAGATGCAGCTGCGCTGTTGGATGTACAGTCCGTGTTGTTCTTACGAAACAAGGCACACATGTGTGCCAGAGTCGCAAATGAAAGTAAAGCCCAGGCTAATAGCCCAGACTAGTCCAATGAACCCCTGACATCTACCATCGCAACTGATCGGTCTGGCTAGGCCAGTCTGGTTTGGCTAGACCCGACCTCCGACCTCAGAGGTTCTTCTGACAGCAAACAGTCAACATCATGTGGGACTGATTTGATGGTTGATTTCATTTGGTCTGGGGTAAACATAGGGCAGTCCCACAGATGGTTTGTGAGTGACCTATTTACTCATTTTACTCCTATTATCTATTTGTATATTGACACCCCAGACCAGATACTATGCATAGATGGTAAAAAAATGCATAAAAACACATTCTTTTGTTGACAGATGATGTAAAAGATAATCGGAGTAAGACAGATGGTAAGATCTTTTTTTACCCCATCATCTGGGGCAAAAAATGCATAGGCATAGATGTAAGGCCGGGTCCTGATCGACTGCCCCCAGCCTATCTTGCCCGCCTGCAGTTGGCCTCCTTCGACCGCCTTGAGGCTGCGTTCTTCGGGTCGGTCGTCGCAGTGGAGTCACTAATCCGGGAGACGCCCAAATGTTAGAATGGGTAGAATTATGGTAGAATGAGGATTTTTTTGCGTTTTTTGTTTGTTTCCTTTCTTGGGAGAGTTGGAATGCCTAGGAGGTCTCGCTATTTGAATAGACACCCAAATAGAAACACACTCCCTGACAGGATCATGATTAGCAGGAAAAAGGACGTAGCCTCAGCATCCAGACCTGCTGAAAGACATGGTTGGAGACCCTTACCCTAGACTTCCAATGGTTGACTTGGTTTTTGTAGTGTAAAATCCTTAGTTGATTCGGTGAAGCCTATTGATAAAATATATATTATATGGTGTTTGAAGCCTATAGGGCTTATATCCTCCCTGAAAGAACCATATGATTATCATGGCATGGCCGCGATTTCGGATGACCATGAAAGCCTTTCCAAGCGACCAAGCAGGTGGTGGTTTTTTACTCCACGTATGCCATGAGTACATTGAGGGAGCTGAAGGAGAGTATTCGGTTTTTGTCCGTGTTCATTGATGTTCCGTCTTCCCCTGCTTTGATGTATCACCTTGGCGTTTCACATTTTCTTCATCGGTTTCATCCGTGATCGACGTCACCTGCAACCTTGATCATTTCCTTGATTCCCGAGAGCACGAACTCAAATTGGTTTCGAAGTTCGGATTTGCTATCGGAGGCAGTCGCAAAAAATGCAACAAACGTAGGACAAAAAAGGGTGCCAAGCACGACGTAAACGTGTCACTCATTGTTTGGCAACAGATTGGGAGCCAACTCTCTCATAGTTCAGATAAGTTTAGCCTTCCTGGCTCGAGGAAGAGCGGATTGAAGATGTCTCAGAGAGTGATACGCTGTAGCAACCGTCAGGACTGTCAGCACTGTGACGCGCAGTGCAGCACAGTCCACGCGCATCGTGCTGGAAGCCGTCACAGTCCAACAGGACTTTCTATAATAGAGAGTCAAAGACGCAGGTTTCTCACACTTTCAAATTGATGCGTTGATTTCCAGGCGGTCTGCGTGTTTTTCAGCCGGCCAGTTGGCCCAAGCAGAAGCTGACACAGCCACCTTGGCACCAACACATTTTGCGTACATACATGTACGACCACGGGCCATCCCTTCGTACATGCACATGGAATGCGGCAAGTTTCCGCACAAATGCCACATGCTGTCTTAAAACAACACTCACAACTAAAGGAGAACTGCCACTCGCAAGCTGTGACCAAAAGTGTTCACATCTTTAATTTTAAGAAGCACCACTCAACAAAAAAGTAAAAACATTGAGCAACAGTTTATGAACCATGGTTACTTCCTTCAGGTTTTTGACAAATTCGCTGTTGTTTTCAGCTGCAACGGCCCATGGGCCCATCGCATCATCAATCCAAACGGCGCCGTTTGGGGAAGTACATGGAGTATTAAGGCCGCAAAGTTGTTTCTCCCTACAGGTCCAGTCTGATCCAGTAAACCTGGTCGTCTACCTCATCGAGTAGTATTTCGGTATGTCCAGCTCCACTCAAACGACGTCCAACTGAAGGGTTTGGTCGGTGCCTTCAACGTTTTACGAAAAACACCCCTGTTTGGGAGTGAATGACCCACTATCCAGGTGTGCTTTCGGGTTTTGTGAAATCGCCAATCAATCAACGCCATTGCCTGCAGGTGCACAGAGAATGTCATGTACAATCATGTACAACATCCATGTGATCCATCTCCAACTCCCGCGAAGACCGGTCACGCGCGCACGTTTCCCTCGCCATGTCAGACGCTTCGCAAAAAAACCGAAGACCGGTCCCTCTCCCTCTCGCCCTCCTTCCGATCCGGGGATCGGTCCGACGTACGGACGTCATTTGCAGGTCTTCGGGCAGATCGACTCCCTGGAGACCTGGGAGATCGACACCCTGCGGCTCCGAGCTCCTCGCAGCGAAGGGAGGTCCGGATGGAGCGCATTTCTGGTGAGAAGACGCTCGATGCGAACCATGGGGCCTACGATGGGCTCAAAATGGCTTGTGGATGCTTATGATCATTTGTTCACATGTCTTCCCTTGAACGCCTCAACAGCCTATAATTAATGTGGTCCTCTGATTAATAAACGCCCCTAGAATAATGTATTGTTTTCCTGCACTGATTAATAAAGGCCCCCAGAATGATGTCTTAATTTTTGGCAGGGATAGCTGTAGTGGAATATGTTTAATTGTTATAGGTTACTTTTTCCCTTTTGAGTTTGCTGGGATTTGCTTATCTTACAGGCTTTTGGATGGAGATTTCTATTAAACATTTGAAGATTTCCATTGCGATTTGATGCTTTTGGAGGCTTTTGGATGGAGATTCTATTTGGAGATTTCCATTGAGATTTGATGCTTTTGCAGGCTTTTGGATGGAGATGTCTATTCAAAATTTAGAGATTTCCATTGAGATTTGATGCTTTGGAGGCTTTTGGATGGAGATTTCTATTCAATTTTTGGAGATTTGCATTGAGATTTGATGCTTTTGGAGGCTTTACTTACCTAAGCTCTTTAGTCTGTAAGCTTTCCAAAACTTTTCAAAAGTCAGTGCACACTTTCTTTACAAAATCCCTTATTCAAAAGTATTGAAAAAAACAACAAAATCATTCAAGCAAAGGGGGTAGTCCAGCAAGCAGCTTTCTGACATTATTTAGGGGGTCCCTAGAATAATGTCTAGAGATTTCAGGCTTCAACAAATATTTTGCTTTAAGTAAACTTGTATTCATTCCCTTTCTGTTCCTTTTGATTTGCTTTACTTACCTAAGCTCTTTAGTCTTTAAGCTTTCCAAAAGTTTCCAAAAGTCAGTGCACACTTTCTTTACAAAACCCTTATTCAAAAGGGATTCAGATGTCCATTAAAATATTGACAATTCCATTTTATATTTATTGAGTTCCTTTTATTTTAGTATTCCAGATGTCTTCAATTTGAGATTTCATTGATTCCCTTATATTTTTGATATTGCCAGAGAAGGCCAAGAAGATTTTACAAAGGATTCTAATTGTTTTTGTCCTTTGATTAGTTTTCTTGTAGATTATATTGGAGGCCCTGGTTGTTGGGGGGGGCCGGGGGGGGGGTTGATTAATCAAGGGACTATCTTAGGAAAGAAGCAACGATTTCCCAGCTTCTACAGGTCCAAACGTTAGGTTTATCACGGAGTTTTCCCGATGGCCAATGGGAGGGCCGAACGTGTGTGGAGGGCCGATCGTGGTGAACAGGTTCACATGCCATGTGTGTGCATACAGGCTGATCAGGCCAGGGGTGGTTTGGGTCGGTCGATGGGGCGGCATATATTCCAGTACCTCGGAGCGACTGCAACATGACCAAAAATAAAACATTGTGAAACCCTTGTGTTTTTGGGGGCTGACACTTCAGTTGACCTAATTGCTTGCATTAAGGATAGGTAACAGTTCGTTTGGGAAGGATCGGATGGATGAGTCCCTTTGACCACAGGACCACAGGATGTCTTCTGAAGAGATCTGTGGCTGGGTCAAGACCTGGATCCCGAGTCCACCATGGTCCACTGCCAGTCAACCATTCGGTCTCCTGGTGCAAGTTCCCCACAGCCACTTCAAGCACCAACAAAAAACCGCTGGAAGTCCAGATCGACATTTTTCTTGTCAGATGGAAGTAAAGGAAGTTCCCTTTTAGTTCCCCTAACGACAATTCCTTTTCCAGTCTTGAATTCTTACCCGTCCAGCCGTCCCTCCACCGAGGGCACCTTGGACCACGCGCTGCTCCGGGACCGGTGCACCGGGTGGAGACCAGACCAGGGTGCCGATGACAGGAACCCTGACACCATCTGTTTGAGGCTGGTCAGACCGAAGTAGTTGGGGTGGTTGACTTCAGGGGTATATGGGATGATATGCAATGAAACAAGGTGATGAGGATTGGGGCCCAAGTATATGCATGTTTATGCGACGTGGATTGGTGCGCAAGTCGTGGATCCATGTTGATGCAGTTGACAGGAAGAGGTTGTGTAGAATGGGTTGGTGTTTTTTTGGACTGGGGGCAGCTACCATTGAACAATGCCAGGCATGAGAGAGACAGCAATTTGTTGCAAGAGGTATTTATTGGTGGTGTTACCGTCCTGCTCAAACAAAGATAACAAAGCACCATGATTGGACAGAAGCTAGGCCCAGTCTCAAAGTCAGTGGACATCAGTTGACATCAACTGATTCAACTGCAAAAGGTTTTTCTGGCCAAATTCTTCCACCACTTCACTACAGGCCCCTAATCTCTAACCCATCAATCGAACATCGCAGCTTGCGTCGCGTTATGGGCAGTGTAACACGAGCAGCGCAGTGTTTTGCCGCTCTTGCCGTTCGCGTCGCAGTGTTAGGCAGTTCCAGGTACAAGAAGCTGGTGCCTTTTGCCGATGCCAAACCCACCGAGTTCCTCTCACATCAGTTTCCCGTGGAAATCTGCCGCAAGGCGGGGGCGATGGCGTGAGATGAGGCCCCACGTGCATGTGAGCAAGGTCAGGTGGCAAATCACATGCACTGGGCCCCACGTACTACCTGTTGGTGTTTTTTCTGGTATCTTCTTTGTTTGGCTCATGTTTTCATTTTTCGAAAGCATCAGGAGATTGGTATACCATTTGTAGGTTTGCCTGGACCTGCGCGAAAACCAAACACCACGTCACGTCCAGTTCGACATGTCGACCGGTTCAGCTTCACGCCTTCCATCAGGCAGAGCCTGGACACGCGGCCAGCGAGGAGCCAGGTGGGATCCAAGCGCAAGGGTTCCTCGGTCGCTAGGGCATGTTGCTCCACCTGGTGGTCCCAAAATGGTTCACGCCTGGACCGTTCTTTTGCACTGGACCTTTGGCTTGGTGGCTCAGTCGCCATGCTGATGGATGCTCAGTCGGCATGCGTTCTGCCCTCTTCTTCCGGTCTGGCGCCCACACGCGCCCACACACGCGCAACGAGGAACGTCGATGGATGGCCCGACCCACTCCAGGGGGGGTGAGCGAAGCTGCCGGGTCCGATCCGGTCAGCACAATTGATGTGGGCATGGTCCAGTAAGACAATTGGTTTGGTTTTACATCAGGCGACATGACTGATACTTCCTACGCATACAGTGGGTTCATGATGGTTCATGTCTAGATTTCCTCAGCCTCCCCCATTGGAGCGCCCACTAAGGGTTATGGCACCGAACCAGTGACTTGTATTGGCTGGTGGGGCCTTGAGTCTCCACAGACTGAACCCTCCTTGTTCCGCCCTGCACCACCCCTGCAGGTGCTGAGGCGTCCTTCAAGACGGTGGTGCAGGCCATGTTGGGAGCAAGCTGAGTGGAAGAAGCTCCCACCGTTAGACCTTTGGGGCTTCCAGACATGAATGACACCTGTCTTGGGCAGTGTCTTGGGATGATGATACTACTCCCAAACACAGCGCACTTCAAACAAATCTGAGGCAACTCCATGCACTACCCGTGTTCGTTTTCACATCTGGCGTCTTGCGCTCCGATGAATCACCACGGCAAAAAGGTTTCAGCGAACGCTTTGGAGTACTTCCCCTCCCCAAGGACGTGGAGAACCCCCCCCATGTTTGTAGATGAACATTGTGCTGCTCAGAGCCATACAGGCCACCTCCGTATGAGTTGGAGTCCAGGGTGTTTTTTTCCCTCAGTGGACTCGCTCTGCGACGCAACGGCGAAAGCCCTGGGGCTTCTCCTGATGGTCTGGGTGTTTACCTCGTAGAATTTGCATCTACCTGGACCATCCAAAGGGTGCTTCCTATAGGAAGCCTATAGGTAGTGTGGGGTAGTCCATTGGATACCCCTTGGATGGTCCTGGTATAGACATTGTAATTTGCATGCATCCTGCTGGGGGAGAAGGATCTGTGTACCCCGACTGGGAGGGTCCAAGTTTAATGGAGCTCTCTTCCCAACAGTCTCTGTTTGGTTTCCTTTGAGATCCTTGAAGCATCGATTTGACATCGCCTGCAGTTCTCTTATTCGCTGTCGCGTGGTGGTGCCGGCGCTTGAACTCCTCCCAGGAGCTGCCGGAAGATGTGGTGCACGAGCTGCATCGGCCGGAGACCTGTTGGGAAGAACTCCGCCACTGGGCGAAAAGTGATGTTGGGTGCGGAGGTTTTGGCGCATTGAGAGTGATGATGGATAGGTCAGTCTTTGCGGGGAGCACCATAGCTCTCAAGGATAGATCATGGATGTATGGTTTGATCGATTGACAATGAGAACTGAAGAAACAAGAGATAACCGCCATATGAAGTTTCCTTAGATAGTTTGGGGAGACGGTCGTTGGAAAAGTTGTGCTGTAATCCACCAGTTCAGTTGTGACAACGCTACATTCTGTTGCTGTTCTCACTCCAATGATTGGTGAGTGCCCCCCCCACTAGAAGTGAACATTGGTCCAACCAAAGGCGAGATCCAAGTGGCTCAGCGCTCCCAGCCCGCCTTGCGCCACCAAGCATGCAAGATTGGTCACTTTTTGACTCAGGAACCTTCCTTGAAGGCAAAGAGGAAAAGAACTTGGTCCTTCGTGACAGGCCTGGGCCTTGGCTGATTTCTTTCGACCCCACAGTTTGGTCGAAACTTGGACTGGTGTAGATCCCCATGACATGCAGCGCCTCACCTGCAGTGATTTTGAGTGCGGTATCCTTTCTGAGCAGTATTATGCTGGGTGTATGCTGCTCCAAGCCCAGAGAAACCATCATCCACTTCTCAGGCACGGTCATCGGATTCTCCTAGATGAGTTGAAGCATTCCTCCACCTCGATCAGCCACGAGCGCTTTCCGCTCCAGCTGGCGAAAGAGAAGGCGCAGCGGCGTCAGCGTCTCCGGACTCCGCGGCGCCGTCAGCCTGCTCGCGCGCACCGGGGTTTCGGGATGTCCTGTCGATAGGTGGCCTTGATGGTTTGTTGGATGGTTTTCCAGCAACAAAACATCAAGGCCACTGTGGTTTCAGCTGGTTTCAGCAAAGGCGTTGCAATAGTGTTGATGGATCCACAGCCAGTGGCTTGAGACCTTAAATTAAACGAGCAATTGCAAAGTGTTATACCAAAGTAAGGCACAACCTTGCCTTTCAGACTGCCCATTTTGGGCAATGAGGTATCACGAGGCAACGAGCAATTTGCATGTTTCTACAGAACCAACACTTGCAGGGTGGTATTTGTCCAGGGGATCCCACATTTGTGTGTTTTTTCGCGCGTACATTTGATCAACACATTGCAGCACAACCAGTGACCAACGCCCTGGAGTTCCTCAAATCTTACATTGACCCTGAGATGTCTTCTACAAACCAGCCATGATGGGAACAACCGTGCGAACCAGGTTCGTTTGCAGAAAGTGGAATAGCTATCATCTCTCATCCATTCTCATTCCATGTTGTCAGATGATGCTTCCGAACCCTCCTCCTTTGGATGGTCAAACACCCGAGCTCCAGCTCCAGGGCCACCTGCCCTTCCACGCCAGGACGGAACAACCGATGCTCCACCCGTGGGAGGTCTTGACCTCGGTGCCGCGCGCGTCACGGCGCGCCGCAGGGGAGCGTAGTGCCACGTGGTTTCTCTTCATTTCCGCAGGGCGAGCGCACCAACATGAGGGTGGCAGCTGGACATTTGTGGGTCACATCATGGCATCTTTGTGTGTCAAGTCTTTGTTGGTAATCACTTCCTTGCGCCTCCTATGGTGGCAACACACGGTGATTGGATACGGGGATAGCTTAGGTGATGCTCTCCAAGCTCTACCGACCAGTTTACCTCCTGCGTGTGAAGGACAAAGTATTAAGGGACCTGACAACATCTCGAGCAAGTCCCCGCGTGGGGTGATCACAAATCCGACCATTCATGGGACCGGAAAATTTACATGGACTGGTCATTGACATGGTTTGTTGCGTGTAGCTATTGCAGTGGATGGTTTGGGCAGGAAAGTCTTTGTAGAATTCTAAGGCGACGCCGAGGTCGCTGTTGCTACACAGTGAAGCCTTCTTCAGGGATGTATGGATGTTCCACAGATAGTCTTGAGTGTGGATGCTGACCGAATTCGATGTAGGGATATATATTCTACGACTTTGCGCATCCACCTACCGTGCCTTGGTCAAGTCCACCAGACGCGAAGCCGCACGGGCGATGGCCAAAAGTCGAGACTCCGAAATCGAACAGGAACTGGGACCAACCAGAGTTGACATGGTCTTCCGGATTGAACATGGTGATACCCAGTCGACTCGGGGCCACCCTTGGGCAAATGGAAGTTGTAGGATGAACCGGTCTCACCAGTAATTATGGGCTGAATCCCAAACAACCAACAGTATGTCTGGACTGGACGATCTTTTACTAAGGATCTTGCTGTTACACAAGTTACACAAGGTCATTTTTTACACGATCGAGTGTCGGCTGGGGTGTAGCCCTACACCGACACTGTGTCAGCCCACCTGTGGACCGGTCGAAGGTTTGGAAAAAACCGGCATCCTGCAGTAGATAGATGGGCTCGGTGCAGGCATGGACTCGCCTGGTGTCGTTGGGAACTTGATCAAGAATATGTCCAAACCTCTATGAGCGATGGCCTCCAACCTACTAGCGATGGCCTCCAACAGAAACTGCCACTGGCACCGTTCGGGGCCTCTAGAAGATTTCCCAGACCATCCATGTGTGCAATAATTACTTACATGGTCGCAAATGGTGTACATTGGTAAATAATGGGACATGTATAAACTGTAAATACTATTATATTGTATATCCTGTTGTGACAACAATTCCATACATGGATGGTCTGAACAACCGGCGCTTTTGATTTGATTCTGACTATGCACTGAATCATGCAACATGTGGGGGTTAGCCCTGCAACATCATGATTCAGTGGTGAAATGTTTGTTTCTTGCAATACAGTCGCACTGTTGAATCCATTGCTTCATCGATAATGACACATCTTCTTTGGGAGCTTCTTTTTCTTATGATTCTTGCCTCCTCTCCGTCCCAGAGCAGCCAAGTCAGACCGCTATACATATTTGCCAGCCTGCACTGGTCCTGTGCATATACATGACTTGTTTTTCAAAGATCATCCCGAAAGCTCCATCAAGACAGCTTCGCCAACACAGCCTCTACCAGACGGCATATTTGAGAACCCAAACGCAGCATGGCTTCCGTTGTGACCTCCGGCATATGTACAAGATGTACAAGGCTGATAGCTGTTGTGGACGTGCACAGGAGGTATCTGAACCTCGCATCCAGCCTTGAAATCGCTATCGGGGCAAAGGCGCGTAGTCGAACCAAGAAAAAGCAGAAAGCTGTCACCGCGCCTGAAGGTGTTCTTGGGGAGGGTCCTTGTGGCACGTCTGTGGCGTGCTGACGCCAGGTCGCCCAATTGAAGCTGAAGCGTAGTACATAGAGCTGAAGGCGCCAGAAAAACAGGCAGGCTCCCAGATTCAAGAGCTTCTTGTGGATGATTTCTTTTGGCAATGTCCTGTTTTGGCTTGTGCCTCGAGTCTTCGAATTTAAGTTTGTTCCTGCACACGTTAACCTTGCCTTTGAAACTTGCAGGATGTATATACATTACAGCAAGTTGCATCATGTCGCGCAGACAAAGGAACTGGATGCCTAGCGCAGAGGAACAAAACTTTTGGCGCCCAGAACTGTTGCATCACTTTTTGTCGGGGGATTACAATTGGACAATTGTAGTACTCCCCCAGACAGTGTGGACACACTTAGGGGTTCTTACGGTAGTAGTGAAGCACCGGTCTTAGATCGCTGTGTCGCGCGGCCGTGTCCGGCTAATTCCCTGCTATTTACAGTGCACCCATGCCTCTCGAAATCGTCGACGTGCATTTCGACTGCGCAAGCTCGAAATCTGTGTGGCTGGAGCGGGTGCTTGTCGCGACCGCACTCTCGTTGTGGTGACGTGCGCATTTTCGGACATGGTGGTCACTTTTCGTGGCAGACGCAAGGGAAACTTAGTGTTTTCGTGGTCCAAAGTCGACCCTGGAGATCCAAAGTGGTAAAAAAAAGTGAAACTCGCCACTGTGACACATTTTAAGTCAAAACACGCCACTAGCAAAAAGTGAATTTTCAAATCGAAAGCGCAAGTCAGCCACCACATCTTTGGAACTCTGCGTGAACCGCGGAGTCACGGGGAGAGAGGAACGAAATCGTCGTGATTTTGGTTGAAGACATGCTCCCACAATGCCAAAATGCGACGAAAACGTTGCGAAAAAAGAACCATACAAAACGTACGTTTATTTTCGCAACTTTTCGGAAATTTTCGCAACTTTTCGGGAAAGTTGCATGTTTTAAGCCGCGTCCAGCATTGACAAAAGCAGGCGCGAAAACATCAGAAAAGTCCTAGCACAAGTGCGTGTGAGAAGACTTGGCTCAGGCGCTGGATGTTTTTCTTCGCGCCACTGCAAAGCATCAACATGCCCTAAGAGAACAAGTGCCAAACACCAACCATGAGCAAAAAGTACCACTGTGACACTTTTTCGGAAAATACGCCACGCGCCACTGTGATAGAAAAAAGTGCCACTTTGGATCTCCAGGACTTGTCGTGACAGGCGCAAGGGATCGGAGCGGTTTTGGACATGGTGGTGGTCGTTGCGGTGATTCGTGACTTTTGGACATGTGGCTGGTTTGCAGTTTTCGTTTCAGGCACAAAACACTTTGTGGACCTTGCAATGCAGATTTCGCGGCAGGCGCAGCATTTTGTGAACCTCGAAGTGCAGATTTCGTAGCAGGCGCAGCGCTTTGTGCTCTCAGATCCTCACCTCTCGCTCACACTCACACCCCAACTCACAGTCACATTAATTTACTCTCACTCTCACTCTCACTCTCACCCTCACCCTCACCCTCACGTCACCCCTCACCCTCACCCTCACCCTCACCCTCACCCTCACCCTCACACTCACTCACTCACTCACTCACTCACTCACTCACTCACTCACTCACGCACACTCACTCACTCACTCACTCACACTCACTCACACTCACTCACACTCACTCACACTCACTCAC